GTGGGTGGAGGGTCAGAGAGACGACGGGTAGACCAGTTAAGTGTATGGGTCATGGGGGAGGTAGAGAGATGCACGCATGATGTATGGATGAGTAAACGGATGCGAGGGAGGGCGACTGTGATGGGCGTGTGAATGGGGTGGGGCAGGGCGTGAACAGCTGGATGGGTGACTGTGATGGGCGTGTGATGGGGAAGGGAGGGGTGGGTGGGAGGATGACTAGAAAGAAGAAGAGGCGATGGATGGGAGCAGAGGACAGGGTGGCTCTTTTAGTTCGTCTGGGAGCAAACCGGGAACCAGCCTCTGTCTTTAGCTCGCCCAACCTCTCCAGCAGTGATTCCTGACGAACACCATGTAAATGGCAGGTTCCTGCCCTGCAGATCTATGAGCTTCTGGTGTGTTTCTACTTCCTGTCCACTCCCTACCCCCCCACCCCCACCCAGGTCTCTGATACATTTTGATAAGCGCCACTCTTACTCTGAAAACTGCATTCTGTGTGTTTTTCTCCTCAGTTCGTGGGTTCTTGGCCTTGTCCCGAGTCCCCCTATGCCATGCTCGCCCTGTGTCCCCTGCTGCCAGGCTGGGACTGTTCCCCCCTTTATTCCTGCTGTGTCTACCGACACTGTCTGTGCCTGGGAGACAGTGATAGCGGTACAGGTGTGTTTATCAAATGCAGGTGTGAATTCCTCCGTGAAGAAAGATTGTAACTGGTGCTATGTCATGGCCTAAAGCCCAGGGTAAAGTCTCCCAGTCACCAGAGTGACTTGGAACAGGTAGTTCCCATGCATTCCTGAACAGTGTGCTCAAGATAGGGCCAGTTATGGATCCTACCCACCCTGCTCTCACAGCGACCACAAGGTGACCGCACAAACACTGGTGATGTCATTTGTGGATAGGAATGCTGCTTTGAGTTTCTCCTTGGGCTGGGAGGATCTAACAGAGCAAAACTGTGGCTACATTGTAACATGGCAGTCTTGCTGCCTCGGGAGGGCGGGCCTTGGAGACGGCTGCTGGGTCAGTGCATGTTTGGAAGGCAGAGGACAGTCTCAGGTGTTAGTCCTCGCCTACCACCCCGTCTAAGATGGGATCTCTTGTTCACTGCTGTGTCTACCAGGCGGCAAATGCCAGGTTAGCTGTCTAGCCATCTTTCTGGAATTGTCCTGACTCTGTTCCCCATCTCATTTAGGGACACTGGGATTACAGAGACATATGCCAGTTCCTCTGGTCTAAGTCGGGTTTGGGTCATCCGAACTCAAGTCCTTATGTTTGCATGGCTGGAGTTTGACCCCACATCCTGGAGCAACGGAATCTTCTAACAACCTCCGCTTCCAAGCTCTAAACTGGACAGACAACTCTGAGATTTCGCTCTCTTGAAAACACCACTTAGCTCAAGAGAGAAGGTGGGCATGTGGCTAGCAGCTCACCTGGCTCGAGCCTGGGGGACACTTGGCAAGTCAAGACAACCATCATCAACAAAGGGAGACTGACTTTCAAAAGGAGGTGTGTGTGTGTGTGTGCGCGTGTGTGCGTGTGCATGTGTGTGCGCGTGTGTGCGTGTGTTAGTGTGTGCGCGTGTGTGTGTGTTAGTGTGTGTGTTAGTGTGTGCGTGCGTGTGTGTGCGTGCGTGTATGTGTGTGCGCGTGTGTGTGCGCGTGTGTGCGTGTGTGTTAGTGTGTGCGTGTGTGCGCGCGTGTGTGCGTGTGTGTTAGTGTGTGCGTGTGTGCGTGTGTGTGCGTGTGTGCGTGTGTGCGTGTGTGTGCGTGTGTGGGTGTGGGGTGTGTGCGTGTGTGCGCGCGTGTGTGCGTGTGTGCGTGTGTGTGCGTGTGTGTTAGTGTGTATGTGTGTGCGTGTGTGCGTGTGTGCGTGTGTGTGTGCGCGTGTGTGCGTGTGTGTGTTAGTGTGTGTGCGTGTGTGCGTGTGTGTGTGCGTGTGTGCGTGTGTGCGTGCATGTGTGCGTCTGTGTGTTAGTGTGTGTGTGTGCGTGTGTGTGTGAGTGTGTGTGTGTGCGAGTGTGTGTGTGCGTCTGTGCGTGCGTCTGTGCGTGTGCGCGTGTGCGTGTGCGCGTGTGTGTTAGTGTGTGCGCGTGTGTGTTTGTGTGTGTGTTAGTGTGCGTGTGCATACGCGGTTGTGTGTGTGCGTGTCTGTGTGTGTGCGTGTCTGTGTGTGCCTGTGTGTGTGTGTGCGCGTGTCTGTGTGTGTGTGTGTGCGCGCGCGCGCGTGCGCGCGTGCGAGCACATGCTTGCAGGGAAGTCCATTGTCTAAAGAAGACATGATGTACAGCAGGAAGTTAGGAGATGATGCTTCAGTGATGAATTCATGCCAAGCTGAATCTGCCTTTCAGAATATTCTTATAAGGTCATAATACATTACGTGTTATCAAATAAGACAGAATCAACAAGTTTATGTATCTGTTCAGATTTTCGACATTTCAAATTTAATTAAAACTGCAAGTGTTGGGAGGGAGGGATATCAAAACCAACCTAGGAAACGTGAACCCAACACCTGGGGACACAGCCCCATTCATCAACCCTGGAAACTGGGGGGCCATGCAAAGGGGCTGGGACCTAATGCACACAAACACGGAGAGCTCTCAATGGCAAAGTCCTTGAACAATGAGCAAGCAGGGGGTTTGTTATTTAAAGTAATAGAAAATAGATACCAGGGTAACGCTGTGGACACCAATCTCTTTTGCAAACAAGAAAGACAAAAATACAACCTAGATGAAAAAGTATAGGAGGACTCAGGTCAGGATATTCTGAAGCAGACCCCCAAATGGACAACAGTCTATATGAGGGGGAAAAAAACCCCTCTCAAACTCTAGAAATCATGTCAGATTTAAACCCTTGACATAAGTGTGATGCAGTGGATGGAAAATGTCCCCCATGGGTCCATGCATTGAACACTTGAACAAATATTTGTCCCCAGTCTTTGGAAAGGTTGGTGGTACTCTTTGGAGAAATGCACCTTTAGGAAATCAACCTTGATAGAAGTATATTGACCAGTGTGCTTTTGGCTCACAGTTTAAGGTATAGCCCATCGTGATGGAGCAGTTACAGTGGGAAGAGCCCGAGGCAGCTGGTCACATCATATCTACAGCTCACCAGCACAGGAATGGACGCTGGTGTGCAGCTCATGTTCTCCCTGTGTGCAGTCTAGAACTCCTGACCATGGAATGGTGCCCCTTCTTCTCACCTCGATCAACCCAACTCCCTTGCTGGAATACCCAGAGGCTGTTCTTCCGGGTGATTCTAGACCATGATAAGTTGATAATTAATAATAACACCTCCGTTAAGTTGATAATTAATAATAACACCAGAGGGGACTGACAGCTCCTCTGTCCTCCCTCTCCACGACACCTCCACTAACCCAGGTTGACATCCCCTTCAGTCCCCAGACCCCGACCCTGCCTTCATTCACAGCTGCATTTAATCTACTCTTCTTCTGTTCAAAGCCCACACTCAGCCTCCCTTTGTCCTCAAGAGTCTTGCTGTGTGGGCATCTTTTTCCTTCATGTCTTTGCCTGTCCCTTAAACTTGTTCTGATTGTTCCCCCAAAGTTAACTCCCTGAGGGCTCCCTCCACCTTCAGAGAATTTGGTCCCACAGGAGGGCTCCCATCTCTCCCCGTACGGAACTCACTGATGACTGAGTAAGGGTAGGTTGATTGAATGACTTACCAGAGAAACAAGTACACAGCTGTATGGAAATAAAGAGAATTCCCCAGTAAAATCCTGGCTAAATGCCCTCTATCTAGTGTAGATATGATGGGAGTATTTGGAAATCTATTTTCTCTTAACTGACATTCGAAAATGAATTTATATTTCTGGTCACACTTCTTGGGAAAAAAAACAGGAAAATGAAACTTCTAGGTTGGCGTTACAGAAGTTAATTCTGACCTTGTTACAAAGCAGCGCATATTTTTACAATTAATCACCCTGGGTGACATTTGCTTTGAGAAAATGTGCAATAGAGGAACCCAGAGGACAGACTAGAGAAGGAGCCACTGTGTGGATTCGCCGGAGGCCCAGGTCTCCTGTGTCTATGGTTCTGAGTTGCATCTGCAACCTGACAATGCCCCCATGTCATCTCTTCCTCATCCCCCACCACAGGCCCATCCACTGAAGAAGGGCCGACCAAGGGCTCCTGTGTCCCAGACATTGTCAACTCCATGGGAGCCCTGCCTGGATCCTACCAGATAAAGTCAGAAGCAGAGCAGAATTAATCATAATAAGCATGGAGGAAGCCAAGAGCCACTTGGGGGTGGGGAAGACGTCAGTAAGAGATGATGGGCTTGAGGTGTATAGCCATTGATGGGGTGTCCTGAAAAGCTCTCCCCGAGACTCTGATCTTGGACCTAAAGGAGGCATAGGCACATGGAGGCCCCATTCTGGCAGGTGGTAGGGCTCAGCTTGTCTTTTCCTTTGGGATCCAGAAGGCAGAACCTGGCATCTTTGTGGCTCCTGCTAAACACACTCTGTCTGCCTCCTGCCATGTTAATGTGCTGTGATGCCTGGGCATCTCTGTATAGCTCTGTAATTTCTACTAAGACTAGATTTTATGGTGGTCAGCTACACATATGAACTCTCCCTCCCGCCAGGTCCTTTCCAAGGCTTTCCTTTGGGTAATGTATCTGCACCCACCATGTTCTGTCACTGGCTGAATAACTGAGATGAACAGATGCTGAGGGCTTTGGTCTCCTCTGAATTGTCTCTAGAACCTTCTCAAATAGAGCAGCCAGCTTCCTTGGCCCATATCTGTTGGGGAAGGCCTGTTATTTGCCTGTTATTTGTCAATAAAGTACTGTTGAGCCTATAGGAATCTAGATAGGTGGGGCTAGGAGTCCAGGAGGATTCTGGGAAGAAGAAACACAAGAGAGTCAACATGTAATGCCATGGGGGTAGGAAGCCTGGAACTATTCTCCGGTAAGAGACATACTTAGATTAACAATTATGGGGTAATTACGTAAGTCAGAGCTAGCTAGTAAGAAACAAGCAAGGCCAACAGCTTCATAATTAATATAGCCTCCTGTGTGTTTATTTGGGACTGATGCGGATCTGGAACCAGGCGGGCAGGAAAGCTTCTCTCAAAGAAAAAGCTTCTCTTAACACATATCCACTTAGATACATTGCCCTCCACCATCCATGTCCCAACATGGACTGAGGAAGTGTATAGGACACATTTTCATCTTTTCTCTTCCATGGGAACCCCAAAAGAAAAGAAGCCAAAATCCCCCAAAGTCAAGCCCCCCTCTCTCCCGGGAATTGTGCATTGTCTCCTCAGATGTCTGCCACATACAATCGTCACCAACAGAGCTTGGAACATGGCCATCAGTCACCGCTGCTTCCTCTTAAGAAAGATGTAATAGATGGGGGAAACTTGCCCAGGTTTGCCCAGGCTAGGAGATACAGAGGCAGAGATGGGAGTTGGGAGATATGGGCTCCAAGTCTATCTTCACCACCAGGGCACACAGTCTGTGGGAGCAGAAGCCAGGCACCTTGTTGGGTCATAACCTCCCTGGTGATGGCGTGTAATAACTGCACTTCCAGTGATGATCAAGAAGGGAAAATGCAAGGACGAGTCAACGTCTGTGGAGAGACAGAACACCCCTCTTCAGGATGGAGACACAGCTCCTTCCACACCCATAAAAAGAAACCTGGCAGGTATCCTCGATCTATGGCACGTTAGTTAGGTACACGAACTCGCACATAACTCATCCACAGTCATAAAGTTTGGGGGCATCTCCTTCCTTGCTTGAATTTCATGCATAAAATTTGCATGCCTAATAGCCCTGGCAGACGCTTACAGGTGACAGACTTACTGCCCTTCTCCTTCTGAAGAGACCTGCAGGTCCCTCAGCAGGTGCGTGTTAAGCACCTACTCCCTCTCCCTTCACCAACGACCCAATGTACGAACTTCAAGACTGCCAGAACTCTGCTGGAGAAACTGACTTCCTGCTTGGGTCCACCCCTGTTGGGGCATTGAGGGAGGATGGAGTCGGGGCATCCATCAGGCTGTGTGAGGCATTTTGATTCCCTGTCCTTTTCACAGGAGAAAGGAAAATTCTCATGACTGATGAAGGATATCAGTGAGAGTCCAGCAGCCCCATGGTTAGAACCAGGAGATTAGGAAGTCTAGAGGGTCTAGGGAGCCCATTTAGGTGAGGGAAGGGTGTGTCAGCCAGGTGCTTTCCACGTAACGAAGTATCTGAGAGAAGCCATTAAAAAAAGAAAAGACATATTTTGACTTACGGTTCCAGGGTTAGACCCATGGTTTGCAGGTTCGGTTGCAACCAGAACATGTGGGCTGGAGAATGCGCAGAGGAAAAACTGCTCATCTCAAGGAGGACAGGAAGCGAGAAGAGAGGAGAGGCAGTACAAAGACAGGATATGGCCTTCTAAGACACCCCAGTGACCCACCTCCTCCATCCAGATGCTACCTCCAAGAGCCATCAACCATGGCATCAGGAACCTATCAACTCGGCTAGCACTCCCATCCAACCCCACAATCCACATCCAACATCCAGAAATTTCCCCAGAAGCTTAGGCATTTGAATACTCTGTCCCCAGTTGGTGGCATTTAGGGGCAGGGTGGGGTGTTAGGTGATGCAGACTTGCAGAGAAAGTCAGTCACTGGGGAGCTGGCATCGGGAGTACACAGCAGCGCCCTACTTTTGGTTTACTCTGTCTGCTTCCTGTTTGTGGCCCAAACCGTTGACCACTGCCGTGCTTCCCGGCCAGAAGCCCAAATAAATTCCCCCTTTGTAAGTGTCTCATTCCAGCAACAGAGAAGTAACCAACGCAGAAGCTATGGAGTGGGCACTGGGTTACAGAGAAGAAATAGCTGTTTCCTTTAAACTGGAACTCTCCCTCTCAGGGGAGGAAGACCTTCAGAAGGTTTAAGAAACTCTCGGAACTTACCGGGCTTGCGAACCCCTTCCCCAAGGTTGCATAAACAGTGAAAAGCCAGTGGTGGGAGGGAGAGGTTCCTCACTGCCTGGATGCTGCCAGGGGAGGGAGAGGGGGGCTGGATGCTGCCGGGGGCAGGGGGAGAGCTAGATGCTGTGGGGTGGGGGGGGCTGGATGCTGTAGGGGAGGCAGGGGGGCTAGTTGCTCAGGGGAGGGGCTCCAGCCATTCTGGTTTTGTGAGTCCCCATCCATCGTTCCATGCTAGGGTAGGCTTTTTGGTTGCCTCTGAGGTACCCACGCTCCCATAAAGTGACCCTGGTGAACTCACTGGTCTGCTAAGTTCACCCTAGCCCTGAACCATTCATCTCAGGGTCTGTAGCATGTTAAGGAACCCACTGGTACCCCAGCTCTGTGCCCGACACACAACACAGCAAAAGGCCAGGACTGCCACACAAATCGACACTCTCGGGTCCTGAGCTATTCATTCTGGGCAAGGAGTGTGCAATGATGGGGATACCTGAGGCCCAAAGGATCCTGGCGGAGAGTCTGAAAGAGTAAGGCGGAGATCCATAGAGGAAGATGCTTCAAGCCAATCTCTGGTCTCCCCAGGCAACCAGCACACATTAAAAAAGAGGGGAGGGAGGATGGGAGGGAAGGATGGAGGGAGGGAGGTGAGAGGCCAATGGGGATTCACTTTCTCAACACTATCAGGATATCAACCCTGGTTCTCCCCTGATTCTGCTTGGCTTTGATATACTTTCCCAAGACATCTTATGAAAATAACCTGCTCTGGGCCTCCACGGTGTGCTCATTTTTCCAGAGATTGTGGTACTGGTTCCACTTTGTCTGATCCCTAACTGGGACTCCTTGGAGGGAGGGAGCCTCCGCCGCTGCAGCTTCGGGGGGCAGGCAGCTTCCATCAAGGATCACCCTGAGATTTGCTTCTTCCCTTCCCGTTTGCTCCTCGCAGAAATCTCTGCCTAGAAGAAAGTGCCGGGCTGTTCATTTCAGAGAAGCAACTCGGTACCAAGTTAATTACGGAAGAGAAAGAAACAGAGGACGAAGCCTGGCCACTCTCCAGGCTATTTATCCCGAGACATTTCCAGGCGGCTGGAACCAAGCAAGGGAGGCTGGGGCACAGATGCCTTCCAACAAGAGAGGGAGGAGCGAGGAGGGCCAGGAGAACTGCCAGCTCCCTCCATTCTTGTTAGACAGACGGAGGAAGATGGGTGGAGGGAAGGCGGACTGCCACGTCCCACCGTCATCATTACGATGCTGTTCAGTCTTCTCCATCCCTTTGTTCCCTCTCTCTTCACACTCCAGGAACTGCGGGGACAGAGGAATCCGGCTGCCGGTTCTCAATATAATTGGGCTTGGTTACTGGTTTGTACAATCTTTTCCCCAGCTGCCGGAGGTTTATCTCAAGGCAACTGTGCTCTGGTGACAAAATCAAGGGCTTTGTAAATATGTTTTCCACTAGGGGAATCAGTGTACTTTTGAGGGACTTAACAGCTGGACAATCTAGGGGCACGTAGAGTGGCCTGCGTGTGTTTCCTTCCATTTCTTCTTGATAACGTGGCCATTTTAAACAGCACAGGGACATGAACACTGCTAAAGTTGTCATCCTAGGCTGAGTTCTTCATCAGCTCGCAAGCAATTATTCCAGTAGATGGATTTTAATTGTTCATATTTGTAGCATGAAGACGGGGTGGTAAAAGTATCAGTGAGCAAAAGCTGTCAGTGCTTGCACAGAGCACCAGATGCAGACCCTGGCGGCATCTAGTGTCTGTCTCCCCTCTGCCCGCTGTCATGTAGCCAGCACCAAACATCATTGTGAAGAAAGACTGCAGACCTGGGGTGTGTGAAGGACCATCCCGCAGACATGGTCTAGGAAGCTTGGCATGTTGGATCCATAAAACTTAAGGAGCCTAAAAAGGCTACCAAACGCCATGCTAGCCCAGGACCTGCCCATAACATCTGACAGATCAATGCATGTTGATTGGATGGAATCATCACTCTTTTATTACATGCCCTAACCTCTAATGCTAGATGCAGAGGAAGACATAAGTGGTCCTTCAAAGGCAGACCAAGTCTGCTTTACTAGGCACAAGGAGACCTGAATCTTGTCTTTGGTGCATGACTCAGCAGCGTGTATGAGTCTTTATATCCATCTAGACGTAGAGGTATACTGGACCCAGCCTTTATTGCAAGGTGGATTCCTGATAGTGTAAAACCATCTTGAAGATTTTTGGCAAATTGTACGTGTTATAAGTTATATAAGAGCAGGATGGTTTGAAGCCAATTGTCCCTCTGCACAGCCCCATTCCAGAGTATGGGGCACAACACAGCAATGACAAGTAGGCCCACCCAACCTTTGACTATTCCAGATACTCTTTGTATGATTGGCACGTTTGTGTTTCCTGAGATAGAATGGGTCTGTAGAGATCCTCTCCTGGGTCATACTCATCTTTCCTATAGCCATCCCTTGTACATACCTTTAACTGTGACTAGACACTAAGAAGCAGTGACATCAGCTGATGACATGCACACTCTTAGGGGTCAGAAAGACTGGACTAGACTACAAAGTACCTGTTCTTAGCTGTGTGATCTGGTCCTTGGTCAACTGTTCCCATTCTCTAGTATCTTCTCCTGCTCTGAAGTTCTCTAGCCTAAAACCCCACAGTTCTACATTACTTAAAACTCTCTTCTGTGTTTCCATGTGTCAGCTAAGTAAGAAAAGAAATGCTGGGGGGGCAAGGGGAGGGTAATTACCCTACCTGTTTCCCATAGCTCACTCTAGCAACTGTATAGACAAAGCACCTAGTGTCCAAGGCAAGGGTAGATGCAGCCAGGCTAAGCTGGGAGCTTTTCTATCTCCATTTCTGTTGTTATGACAGACACAATAACAGAAGCAACATAGTGAAATAAAGGGTTTTATGTGGCTTAAAATCCCAAGTTAGAGTCCTAAATTTTGGAAAAAGTCAAGGCAGTCATTCTAGCCTAGGTTTCTTCTCTCCTGCATTTTTCAGGAACTCCTGCCTAAGGAATGGTATCGCCCACAGTGGGCTGACTTTTTGTGCAGCTACCAACAATCCAGACCATCCACACAGACAGGCTCACGGGTCAACCTGGTATACGTGATTCCTCATTAAGACTCTAGTTCTAGGGTGACGTTTAAATTGACAGTTAAAACTAACCAGTGCCGGGCAGTGCTGTCACACACCTTTGTTCCCAGTACCCAAGAGTCAGAGACTGATGGGTCTCTGAATTCGAGATCAGCCTGATCTACAGAGCTAGTTCCAGGACAGCAAGGGCTACACAAAGAAACCCTGTCTCATAAAAAAAAAACAACCTTGCCCCCCCCCAAAAAACAAAACTGACCACAGAGGCCAATTCAGTTTTGCAAGGTAGAAGTCAATGTTGTTTGACTAGAATATCAAGTGTCCCCAAGGACTGATGATGTGTTGCTCTACCCCCAGCTGGTAGCAGCATTTTAGAAAGCAATACAAACTTTAGGAGGCGACCCTCACCACGGGAACTAGGTCTTTGGAGGCATGCTTTTCCGGGGCACACCTATCTCCCCACTTCCTCTATTATGCCTTCTTTCCTTCATCCCTCATTCTTGGCAAGCGTGAGATGAGAAAGTTTACTCTATTGTGTCCTTCTGCCATGAAGTTCTCCCCACACCATGGACCAGAGAACAGTAGAGCCAATCAACCACGAAACCTCCGATTGTGAGCCAATTTTCCCCTTAAGTTGTTCTGTCAGGTATTTCTCCACAGGGGGGAGAGAGAGAGAGAGAGAGAGAGAGAGAGAGAGAGAGAGAGAGAGAGAGAGAGAGAGAGAGAGAGAGAGAGAGAGAGAGAGAGAGAGAGAGAGAGAGAGAGAGAGAGAGAGAGAGAGAGAAAAACAATAACAGAGAAAATACGATAAGCCATTCACAGAATCCTAGAAGAACTGAGACAGATGGATGCAATGGGTGTAAGTGTATTCTTAGATCTCAGGACTCTACAGTGACAACCAGAAAGAAATGCTGAGGAGAGAAACGGCTGAAGCTGCTGAAGAGATCACTCGTGGTCTTAAATCATCACAAACACTCCTGATAAAATGACCATGTTACCAAAAATGACCTACAGAGTCAGTGCGATCACCATCAAATTCAATGAAATTCTTCACAAAACTACTAAGAAATCTGCACGTTCATCTGGGATCACGTGCACCAACACACACTAAGCCAAAGCCACCCTGAGAGAAGGAGGCAATTCTAAAGGGATGACAACCCAACTTCAATATGTTGCATTTGAGAACTGTAGACAGAGTAGTGTAAGATACAGAAGTAAGCCCACATAGACACAGCAATTAGAATCTTGACATGGAGCAAAAACGCATTGGAGAAAAGGGCAGCCTCTCCCTCGAGTGCCTGGGAAACAGGATGTCTACAATAGAAGACAGAGAGTAGATTCCTACTTCTCCCAGCACACAAATCAGCTCAAAATGAGTCAAAGACCTTCATGTAAAAAACTGAAAACTTGGAAGCCTCCGGATGAGAACATGAGAGAAACTTTTCAAGATACAGGTTCAGGCAACGGATTTCTGACTAGCTGAGGAGGCAGCAGTGAGAACTGTCAGAGAGGGTGAGATGCAGGTCAGTTGTAGAGAGCCTGCCTAGTACATGTGGGCGGGGCCCCTGGATTTCATCCCCAGCACAGAAGAAAAGAAACCTTAGTAAAGGAACTACTGAGCAGGTTTGTGTCAAATTAAAAGTCCTCTGAAGAGTAAAAGAAACAGTCAGCACAGTGGGAGGAAGCCCTGCAGCATGGAGGAGAATCTTTGCTCATCGTCGTTCATCCAGAATAGATAAGAAACTCGAAACCTTAAAGACTGTGAGAACAGAAGATCCAGTCACTAAGTGGACAAGGGAATTGAGCAGAACACCCAGCGCCCACTGGTGTGGGGAAAGGCCATAGTAGGCATGGTATTTGCTGAACACAGCATCAATGATATCTAGTGAGGTAGGGGATGAGGGCTTGGGGGGAAGCACTCTGTGCCCAGCCCAGT